TGGAAGGCTGAGTCAACCCTGAGCCGGTGAGATTTGAACCGCTGAACTGCTGATCTAGCAGTAGCCTGCAGTGCTGCATTTAACCACTGCGCCACTGCTCAGACCACCACAGACAACCCCGATACGAGTGACATTGAGCTGGCCATCCCCACCCAAGCAACACCCACCCTGGCCCCCCGAGGTCAAACACAACCCTAGTGCAGCCCTCAATAAAATCAAGTTTGGCACCCCTGCACTAAACTAAACAGCATTTTGATCTATTGTATGAAACCAGATACTATAGTTTATGAATAATATTTTCTGCGGGCCAATCATAGTTTACTTGATGATTAAACAAAATATGGCTCAGCCCTGATTCCATATTCTCATTCCCCCATCCCCCAAGTGTAGCTGATAGGGGATAAAGAAATAGTCTGTAGCCACAGGTTGGTAGCTGAGGCTGGAGAGAACTGGGTCATGTCTGCAGCCCCACCTTTATATCCTTCCTTTTTTAATTGAAATAAAGAAATCCAGTAGGAACTGAATATTATAAGAATAATATGCAAGTAAAGCTGTGCATTTGTATTGTATTTTTATTTGCAATCTGTCTCAAATCTGTGGGCTAAAGGGCTCATCCTCAGCATGGAACTCTTTATAAATATGTTGATATAGGAATTGCTAATCCGGATTTTATAGAAAACTGTATCCCGGGCTACTGTAGACATGTACTATGATTAATCCAAATGACAATAATTGCAATAGGAAGTTACTAGTTCCAAGTTCATCTCCAAATGTTATTCCTTACTTATTTCATCTCTACTTTGTTGAATTTCAGATTTCATCAGCTGGCTGGAGCAAAACAAAGGAATGCAACAAAATGAGCAAGCGGGGATGGCCTCTCCCTCAATGCCACACCCAGATTCTTTTGACATCGTTGCAGATGTACATCCAAAATACCAGTGTGATCTGGTGTCTAAAACCGGAAATGATGTGTACCGTTATCCCAGCCCTTTACATGCTGTTGCAGTGCAGAGCCCCATGTTTCTTCTACCGGTGACCAGTTCCCCCCCAAGAGAAGAAGCCGAGAGAACCAGTGACAGTGCTGTAGATGTTGGACCGGAACTCAACTCCGAAAAAACGGTGGATTCTTGTCTTTCACACACTTCTCGTTCTCCATCCTGTCCTTTGCCCAGCAGAAAGATGGATGGATATATTTTAAGCCTTGTGCAAAAAAAGGCTCCTTTGGTGAGGACTAATAAACCAAGAACAAATCTGAATGCAGACCTGGCCAAGGGGATTTTGAGACATGGAAGCTTGTGTCTTCGGCAGATGGCTACTGCCGCGCCTAGCAATACCTCTAACACGAAGAATCTCATCCAGCCACTTTCACATTCCAGTGGAACCATTCTCACCCTAGAAAACAGTGCCTTTTCTCCCATAAAGCAGAATTCAAAGGAAGTAGAGAATACGGAGTTAAAAAAGATACCCTCACCTGCTGTTTTCCCACCGAATGCTAATAATGATCAAAGCAAGCCCTCAGTGAAGAATGTCAAAACTCAAGAAGTGATGCGATCCCCTGTGACTAAGAGTGATGCTCCCAAGGAAAGTGGCCAATTCTATTTGATCTGTCCTAAAGAAAGCCCAGAACAGCACATAACACCCTTGAAAGAAAAGAAAGCCGTCCAGCTTCCCAAAAAGCTATCGTTTAAAAGTAGTAGTGGGATGCAGTCGGCTTGCTCTGTTTTATCAGGCCAGGAGAGCAGACCATTGGTGGAACTTAAGAGTGAGGGGTCCTCATCCCAAAGTCTGGAGGAGGGATTCCTAGTGAATGCCCAGTTCATTCCTGCTCAGCCACAAACAGTCAGACTTCTCAAAGGCACCAGGAGTGTCAAAATTCTCAAAGGTTCTATGGTGAAGCACAGATCTCATCTGGTCACAGTGCTGGAAAATGGACCTCAGGCTGGACGGGAGAGGGCCAAACCAACAGGCAAAAAGTGTCACTTCCTGGATGAATTGGATCCAAACAAGAAGCCAAGAAAGACCACTTTGAGAGGGAAGAAAAGTCTCCACATTCAGCCAGATGCCAACCATCCGACTCGGCAGCCAGGCGTACTCAAGTCTGTGCTGAGGCCCCATGGACATAGCAGAGAACCAGTAGTTGCCAAGCCCAAGCACAAGCGAGCGGATTACCGGCGGTGGAAACTCTCTACAGAGGTATCTTACGAAGATGCCCTCAGGCGGGCCAGGAGGAACAGGAGAGAAGCTATAGGCGTCTATTCTGAGATTCCACACCCTTATATTAGCCCCTATGCCTATGTTGCTAGTGACTCAGAATATTCGGCTGAATGTGAATCCCTCTTCCACTCCACTGTAGTGGACACCAGCGAGGATGAAAGGAGCAACTATACCACCAACTGCTTTGGGGACAGCGAGTCCAGCTTAAGTGGAGTGGAGTTTGTTGGTGAAAGCACAACAACCAGTGACTCAGAGGAAAGCGGGGGTCTCCTTTGGTCCCAGTTTGTTCAGACACTTCCCATCCAGGCAGTGGCTGCTGCTTCGGAGCTCCATGAAAATGCAGCCAAGGCCTTTGTTAAGATTAAAGCATCCCATAACCTTAAGAAGAAAATCCTTCGCTTTCGGTCCGGCTCTCTCAAACTGATGACTACTGTCTAAATGCATAGGAAAAGCAAAGGATAGCAGCAACGATAATATCCCTGCCTCTTGGCGAGACCTATACAGTATATGTAAGGGAAGTGAGTGTCAGGATTCTGACGGGTCTTGGGGGACAGTTTTTCAGGACTTGGGAGCTGGGCAGCTACGCTGGTTCCAAAAGGGGCCTTCACCGGCTGTCATTAGAACTGCCTGCCTTAACACCTCGAAGAGCAGAGCAAGCAACTTTTTGGTGACGGAGTGCACATGTTTGTGGATGTCTGCTTTGGGGGCTGAGGACTATAGAGGGATCGAGCAAGTAAGGCAGGGCACCTCCTGCAAGGTGATAATGTTGTGCCATTTCAAGGTTTCCTGATCTTTTCCAGCTTCAGAGGTTGGGCAACCACTCTATGTAAGGTGAAGGAATGGGAAAATTGGGGGGACAGGGCCCAAACATGGGAAGCTTGGTTTTTTTGAGGTGTATGTGTGGAATTCAAGATTTTTGGGGGAATTTTAAGAGGTAAAATTAGGTGGAGATTAGCTGACTTTAAAAATCCTCCAAACAATACCATAGAATCAAAGTGTCTGTTTAGTTCATTCGGGGGGGATCTCGGGGACAACATAAAATGTGTTGGGGGACTCTGTTTGAGCCTGGGTGTCTACCTCTGACTTAAACTTTGAAATAATCCCTTATAATAACATAACATTGGGCAAATTTAATCTCCTTCTTCTGATGCACCATTTTTAGCACGACAAGGGCTTGCTTTGGAGAAGAAAAGACTCACCTCTTTTAAGTTTTCAGCCTTCCCATTCTCACTTGCCTTGAACAATGAGGCAAGTGTCTAATTACAAGACTGGTATAAGCAAGGAACAGAAAGAAGAATCTATGGCAACTTTTCTAACCGGATACCTTTAGTGTGGGGACTGCGATTCCCAGAATTCACAGCCACCAGGAAAGGCAGCAATTCAGTCCATTAGAGAAGGTTGCCTTATGTAGACCTTTTGGGGATCTCTGGTGCTGCTGCTTTTGGTAATCTGCCAAAAAGGTCTTATGAAGATGTGACCAATCCACACCTGCCTGTGTAAACAAAACAAGGTGCTTCTTGTAAATAATTTTTCTAGAATGCTTTTTGTAGGGCAGATATTTAAGTCTTAACGGACTGCTTAGTTAATGTCACTTGAACCTCCATATTTTTGAGTCAACACTAGTGCCTTTTAAGTGGTAAGAACAAAAGCCACAGTGCTAGTTTTTAAGCAAAGAATTAAGACACCAGTTTACTGCTTGAGCTGATTGAGATGCAGACACGGAGACCAAATGTTGATTTAAAAACAGTGTTAGAAACATCAGTGTGAAAAGATGGTTAAATGAAATGCAGGATCCACATTTTTTTAAATAAGCAAACTTGGTAAGCATTGTGTTGATTTATGCGGCATCACTGATTAACACAGAAACTCTCTGCTTCAGATTATCTCTATCATCCACAGACATTTTATATTTAGCAAAAAAAAGAGACTATTTTCAAGATTTCGCTTGACGCCTCCCTATACACAGATTAGATTAGTTGTTCGTGTTGTTCAGCATTGTCTATTCTGAATTAAAACTACCTTCAGAGTCTTGAGCAGACGTTTTTCCCCATTATTTTCTCCTGGATGATTTTTAAAGGTAAAAGCAGGGATTGAACTGCCTTCAAAAGGAGAAACCTCAGTACTGAGCCATAACCACCTAAAGCTGCCTTGAATTTAGATAAACGATCCATCCAGCCCACTGCTCTATGGCTTTTTCCCATGTTACTTTCTGAGATCCTTTAGAAGTTGGGAATTTGGAGCAGTTGCTCCACCTCTTGAATTACTGTATTCATCTCTTACCAACATGCACAAGTTTTAGTAGTATTGAATACTACATTGGATTAGGAGGCAGCAATCCAAATAGTGCAAATGACATAAACTTACAAAATCCTTTAGGATTTAGATGTGGTGGGGAGATCTGCCTTCTGCCATTTAAGCCTGCTTTGTTAATCTTGTATAAGGTCAATCACTTTGAAAAAGCATCTTTAAGGAGGGACCCTGAAGTACATTGTATACAGGTAGTCATTGACTCATGACCACAATTGAGCCCCAAATTATGACCATCAGCGAGACATTTGTTAAGGGAGCTTGGTCCCATTTTGTGACCTTTCTTGCCTCCGTTGTTAAGTGAATCACTGAAGGTGCTAAATTAGCAACAGTCATTAAGTGAATCTGGCTTCCCCATTGATTTTGTCAGAAGGTCGCACAAGTTGATGACATAACCCTGGGAAATTTCAGCCGTTGTAAATACAAGCCAATTGTCAAGCATCCGAATTTTGATCATGTGACCATGGGGACACTGCAAAGTCCATTAAGTGTGAAAAACAGTCATAAGTCACTTTTTTCAGGGCCATTGTAACTTCCAACAGTCACTAAATGAATTGTTGTGTACACCTTATTTTGCATTCTTGATGGGAAAGAGAGTGACAGGCAGATTGCAGTCTTTCATTCCCAATTTAATCTGCTGGTTACTTTGAAATTACTTGGTGATCATAAGGACATCTCCTATACATTTTTAATTTTAAGAATAAGTTCTAGCATTCACAACCAAGATTTAAATCTGAAAAATGTGTTCAAAATGAAACGCCAACCCCAAAGGACCACTGAATCAGAATATTGGTAACTACTTGAAGTTTAACAACATTTCTGAATTTTGAGTTCATTGATTCCAGTTGCAGCCATGCTCCAGCGCTTGAACTTTTAAAATTGAGACTTTTTTAAAAAAGGAAATGCAAATCTTGCCAAATATCAATTTCTCAGATGCTATTTGTATGCCAAGCTTTCACACTCCCATCGTTGGATATATTAAAATGTCAAAGAAATGTGTTCAGTATTTTGTATTGTTTTGTAGTTCTGTACATGAGTGAGGATTTTAAAACAATACTTCAAATAAGAGTAAATATTGCAAGTGGAGAGGTGATTGAAAAAGATAGTTTCTTAAGGCAATGAAGATTTAATAGCTGACCAGCTGCTGTAAGGGTGTAAACTGAGATGATGCAAGTTTATCATCTGTTTGAAAGACAAAACCTTTGTGTACTGTATTTTGCTCTGGGGTTGTCTCAAAATGGTAGTCACACTGTGTACACTTTGACATAGTTTAGGGCTACTTTTCCATGGTTTGCTTTGTCCTGAACCAAACTACCTGACACCTGAGACAAAAGTGCTTTTAGGACTGAGATTTCTGCAGAAGATATGAACCTCGAACCTTTAGATGCTTGGTGCCCTGATGAATTATTATAATTAAACTGTGGGAATGATAGTGAGTAGCAATATATAGCCCAATAATTTCACTGTTGAAAATCTTGTAGATCTTGCTAATTCTTTTTCCTCCTTTAAGAATTCTTTGTTTAAGAATAAAGAATTAAAGTAAATAAAGACAATGCTAGAGGTTGATGTTTAGTTTTGCAGGATTTCAGTTTCTGGTTTATTTTTATTTTGAAAAAAAAATCTTAAAACAAGCTGGGACAAAGAGGCTGGATGATAAACCTATAACAGCTTCTTCTCTTGAATATATGCATTGAGGTCAAGATGTGGAATTTGCCTGCATATCCCACTCAGTTCCATTCCATTTCCCTTCTAATGTTATAATATAAGAATTTTGCTGGTCGGAACTAAAGGGTTATCTTTTCTAGGATCCTGGTTTCCCACAGAAACCCACCTGATAATTCTGGAAAGCTTACTAGAATAGCAATTGTCAGCGTTCCAAATAGCATCCAAAAGTAAATCAGAGTCCAAGGCAAAGTATTACTCAAAGTTCCAATTTAGTAAAAGAACTATGTTGCCACATGTTGGAAAACCCGAATCTGAAAGCTTCCCGGTTTTCCCCACCTAGTTGAAAGTTCAAGATCTTGCAAGATCACAAGTCCATCACATGGTCCAATCTTCCACTGCCATGCTGGCAGTTCCACCCATCCAATTCCAGTCAGGTACAGAGGTGCAGAGACAAAGGATGACCTTGGCTTTCTAGAAAGAATTTTGTTATGGCTACATAATATGTAACTCCTTACAATCCCCCCTCCCATTTTCCCACAATAGAAAATGTGGCAGGCCAAAGATCAAAAAGAAAAGGTGGCTGCAGTCCTGACAGCAGTAGGATTCTCCCATGTTTGCCAGCAATGGAATTAAAAGGCCAGCTTACTCTGAATTGGAGGTGGTAGATAGACATCATGACTGATAGCTATAGCTTTGTCCATGAGAGATTTACTCAGCATGTTTGTAAAACCAAGCCCATTTCATCTGGTTAAATCCCATTTCATCTGGTTAAATCCCATTTCATCTGGTTAAATCCCATTTCATCTGGTTAAACTAATCCCATTTCATCTGGTCCCGTCCCCCCCCCGAATCTCCTACTTTTCAATTTCTCGGGAAGATCCTACATTCCAGCGTTTTAATTTTAGATGTGTCTCTTTTCTCATACGAGTTTCCGAAGCTACAGATCCCAACTATTAAACCTTTTCTTTGTATGGGAGCGCTTCTACCCCTTGATCATTTTGGAGGCCTTTTCTGCACCATTTCCAGCTCACTAATACCTTTTTTTGAGGTGCAATAACCAGAATTCAGTATTCTAAATGACCAATACAATGGCAATTGTCTGACACTTCTTTCTTTTGACTTTGGGAAAAATCCAAAAAGTCTCTTTAAAAGTATATTGTATATATTTTTTCCCTTGCAGTTTACACAAATATGCATGTTAAAAGCATGAGTGTCAGTTGTGTCAGTTTTTCTGTCTTGTGTCCAATAATTGTACATCATTAAGCAACGGTATTTTATATCTCTATAATGAATCATATTGCTTTATAAATTAATATAATGCATTGATATGCTGTAATAAACATTTCCTTTTTTTAATCCCTTGTCATGTGTGGTGCATTGATTGTAGCTAAGATGGACAACATTTGTGGCCCCTTTTGAAAAATTAGACTCTTAAGGGCCGAAGTACATTTTGCTATTTTTTTGTCATTATATTGAGAAATATTACTTCCTTTGAAAAACAAAATAACATACATTCTTCTGGGAACTGCTTGATTGGTGACTAAAAAAAATCACCCACATTTGTCCACTTCCAATTTTTGTAATCAAAGCTTGGCACTCACTTTGAGATGTTCTTGTCCACATCACAGAGAAACAGGAGCCATCTGCGGAGAGAGAGAGAGAGAGAGAGAGAACCCCAGCTGTTGCAACATTCTTCCAAGTACTTTTGTGAGATGTCTGGATCTTCACTGTTCTTTAATTGCATTGGATACTTTTCAATTTAGAGAAGGAATGCTCTCTAAAGAGCCAGAATGAAGAGCACTGGAGAAAAGGCCAAGGAGAAGTTGCTTTGTTTGCAAGCAGATGGCAAAGATGAGGTCCATAGAAAGACTGTGTTCTTGAAATGATTGCTAAATGTTTTCACAGCTTCTGGGGTTTGAAAGCCTTGCCCATCAACAAAACACATATTATTCAAAAAGGAAATAATAATAGGAGAGAGCACAACAAGATCGATTAAAGTGCACATAATATATTATTTCCCTATTTGTAAAAGAACTCATGCATCAATTGCCAGATAACCCAACATGGGTATAATCTGAATTAAGTCTTGTACTGAATGGAATTTACACCCAGTTGGTTACAACTAGCAAGATAAGAACTTTATATGTATGTATGCATATTCATTAATTCCATTTATATGCTGCCTTAAGGTTAATAATTGTAGCTTGCTTTCAGAGACCTTCTACTCCCATCCCCTCCCTTACAATACCCCTGCAGTTTAAAATGTTGGCCAAGACCTTTCCAGCCATCATCTGATGTCGCCAGATACTTTCTGTGGCCTTGATGGGCGAACAGCTTCCCTAAGATTTCAGAAGTTGTCTATTTCTGCTAAAGATTGAAGCTGTCGGATTCTTTCTCTACCTTACCTACTGTAGTTTCTAGAATATTTTTATGGTTCTGGCATCTTTCTATGCTTCCTCTACTTAAAAATGTGCATGATACAATATATGTATTATGTTAAAATTACTTTGCTTCTATATAATTTCTTACTGCTACAGCAATTTTTTTCTAACAGCAACCTGAAATTGGATTTTTCCCACTCAGAGGAGGGAATGACAGCTCAATAGGCTTAGTGTCTTTCACAATATTACAGCCCTCTCAGAATTCTCTGACTCTTTTCTGGCAGAATCAAACAGTCCAGCGTCAAAGACCAACAAAGACAACTTAAGAAAAAAATCAATAGAGAAAACTGGTCAAGGTCCGATTAAGGAGTCAACACAAGGCATTCAATAGGAGCAACCAAAGTTCAGAAGATTTGCCTGGTACTAACAGGCCCAGGCAAAAATCAGTATTTCCAGGAACTCAGGACAGACTTGGGGACAAGGTGCACCCACATTTTTCATAGTACTATGCAGAACAGAATTCAGATGTTCTTTGGAGCACAGGTAGTCCTCGAGTTATGAACACAATTGAGCTGAATTGAGCTAAGTGAAACATTTGTTAAGTGAGTTTTGTCCCATGTTACGATTTTTCTTGCCACCGTTCACAGTTGTGAATCATTGCATTTGTTGTGAATCTGGATTTCCCATTGATTTTGCTTGTCAGAAGGTCGCAAAAGCTGACCACATGACCTTAAGACACTGCAGCCATTATAAATATTGAACATGTGATCATGGGGATGCTGCAATGGTCGTAAGTGTGAAAAACGGTCATAATTCACTTTTTTCGGTGCTATTGTAACTTCGAATGGTTAGTAAATGAACTGTTCTAAGTCGAGGACTAACTGTATATCATGCTCCACATTTTGAGAAATGTGGCTGAAAATTGCATGAAAATAATAGAACATTGAGAAAAGTTGTATTTGTGCACGAAGGGAAATGGCATGTAAAATGTATTCATTAAAACACGGAAATTCAAAAACACCTCCATATGCACCTCCAATTAATGGATGAGAAAAGTGGCTGGAACACATTTAGGATTGAATACGTGCAAAATTGACATGAACTACTTACGCATTGATTCATTTAATCATAGGGATAATGAATAATACAATGACACTGGCTTATGTAGGATTGTTGAATTTGGTCTACAAAATTCAAGAGAACCAC